TATATATATATATATATATACACTAGGTATATCTTGGCTTATTCTTTTAATATGAGAAAAATGAAAATATTCACATTGCTTGCATTTTACAAAAATATTACATTACTTATTAAAAAGAGTTCAAGATGCATCTGAAACAAATAAACAAATCTTCATAGTTTAGGAAATTCAAGTTCCCAATTATTAATTAAAATGTGTTCATACACATATGAAAAGTATAAATCTATACGTTAGGAAAAGATGATTAGATCTAAATTCTATTTCTTTGTAGATTTCTGATCATGAGTCTATAGACATTTTTGCCAGATCCATAGTTGTTGTACAATAGATGTCAGAATACAATTGACAACATAGCTGGAAATACTTATATGTTAATTGTATAAAGTGCCCACAACAACAAAGACATGTTCTGCTTGGTTTTTGTCTTAAGAGTAGCCAAGTATTTCTGAAGTTTTATAGGGTACATTCAGGAAACCCTAGACAGGACAGCACAGCATTTACTTCCCAGATGTTTACTCTTCTAATATTTTGTCTCATGGTGGTAGTTATTTACAATCTGTCTTTCTCCTTCACATAAGCTTCCACAAAGGAAGAACAGTGCCTGGATCAACTCTCACCCAATAAGTTTTCTAGAGCCCTGATATCCAGCCAAGTCCAGCAGTAGTGCCTCTTGATAGAACAAGAAGGTGAAATGATTAAAAAAAAAAAAAACTAATCCTTTTCTCACTACATTATGCATTCCTTGACTGATATAGTACCTGCATTACAAACACAATTCAAAGAACACATAAACTTGGCAAAGTTGAGAACACATTTTTAAAGCAGTCACCATTTCTTTAACTTATACCTGGTCATCCAGTAGTAACTCACAGAAGGCAGGAATGTACTTAGCCCATTCCACCAAGACTAAGAGCTGCTGCTTCATAGATTCACAGACATCGCCAATGCTTGCAATTTTCTTAACGTTTATGTCAGTGCTTACTCCAGGACTTGACACTGATATCTATTAAAAGGATATTATATTAATTCATTATTGAAAATAACACATGCACAGCACACTCTATTTTCTGTATGATTGTGTTAAGTAAACCCTATTGAAGTAGGCAATATCATTGCAACACTATCCTGAAACACATTAAACTTCAGTGTATGTGTGTTTTCATTTTAGTTTTGCAATCTAGGAATTGAATCCAGAATTTTGTACATGCTGTACAACAGCTCTACCTCTGGACTAGACCTTCGGGTCCATATTAGACATTTTAAATTTGACAAATAAAATGTCTATCTGTTTACAAGTTAAACTGAAAGTATTCAATACATAGCACCTTGATCCAGAAGCTGTATCTTATTTTAAAAGCCAAATATATAACAAGCTACCACAACTTCTGGGGAAGACTTTCAATTCAAAATGACTACATAAAAACATAAGTAGTATCCATATGAAATACACTTTGGTGTCTTATTCTTAATTTAAAAAGTATATTTATAGAGGGCGCATTGGCCAACTTGTGAAATCCTAGCAACTCAGGATGCTGAAGCAAGGGAATCAAAGTTCTGAGGCCAGACTGGGCAGCTTAGTGAGGCCCCATCTAAAAATAATTTTTAAAATGTTGGGATATACTAGTTCAGTGTGAGGCCATGAATTCAATAGCCAACTCTACTACCAGAAAAATAAAAAGATATTGATATTCCCATTAAGGAAATCTATCTTTAATTTGTTAATATTTATGAAGAAAGCTTTCATACAGTAGATATAATTTTCCAAACTAGGGACAAAAGATTTAGACGAGATGTGAGAACTATTTATGCTGTTGGATTAAATGGGAGCCACCAAAGCAAAATCAAGGAATGAAGCCCTGACTGAGCAATGTTCATAACCTTAGCATATACACTTCAAGCTGTGTATAACATTAAACTCTATAAAAATGTCGAGGTTTCTTTTTTAAAGTGCTGAAAAATACTCTTTAAAACTTGTTTTAAAGTTTTTGTGAACTTAATTTTTGTGCATGTGTATGTATCTTTATGTGCACCCAGATATTTCCTCATAGATTTCCTTAAGCCTCTTGCTAAAAGCTTTATTGGACCATCAAGCAATCTTCAAGTAATAATGATAACGGGGATATTAACCTCATCATATTACCCTGGTGTAATCAAAAAGGAAAGTAGGCTCACTGCCTCTTTATAGGGCCTGATTACATACCTATTTCATAATTTTCTTTGTAATGGAAAAATATTATTAACACTGTAATAAGAGCGATGCTAAAATAAATATTCTTAAAGGATTTCTTTGTGGAATTAAGTGATTTAGTTTTATCTCTGTAATAACTTTAAACTTTAAATCTGATATTTTAGAAATTTAAAAGAATAAAGCTGTATTTCACTATATTTTCTAAATTCCATTTTTTATTTAAATATCTGTCTGCAAAATAGATGCCAAGGTGACTTCTGCAGTCCAGAAATCTTTTTGAAGGAAAGACATTCTGATGACAATTCTCATCCAGGCCCCCCAAAAGTTGTAGCAGCTAATTTTACAGATTCAACCAATACAATGAAATGCTCCTCCCACCAGAATACCGTAGAGTGCATTAAATTCTTTTGCTCAATCTTATAACTCTTTTTTCAAACAACCTTAAACTAAAATTTATTTCACTTTTTAATTTAAAAACGAGATTGTGTCCAAGGAGTCACAACTAGGTCAGCAGTCTCAGTAATATTCTCAAATTAATACTCAACTTGTGTAGCTCTACTTCACATTAGTAATGAGTCTACTGAGATTCCTTTAGCATTCTGCATAAAGAGACATCTGATTCTATTAAAGAAAGCTGGATGCTGGAGTACATCACGTACCTGGCGAGACCGAATTTCTGCTTGAGCCAGTGTGTTAATGGAAGGGATGTTGCTGCCTTCAAATGTGCTTCTTCTGGTGCTTATTCTATCACGTTCATTTTGAACAGCTGAGGGAGAAAGCACAGTGTTTACTGCTTAGATATTTTTAATACATAACATGACATCCAGTTTGAAGTTTTAAAAAATTACAAAGAGTGAGAAATGTTCTTTCTAAAAGACTCAGGTGGTACAAAGCTCAGAACGAAGATCTTTACATACTACACCACTGTCAAAAGTAGGAGAAGACTTGCTTGGCAATAGAGCGCACAAGAGATTGGTGTTTGGAACTTCGTGATGGCATGCATAAATGTGAGAAAGTGTTAGGCCAACCAGTTCCACTAAGCTGTATTTTCAATGGGTTGGTTTTTTTATTCCTGAAAGGTAATAACACTGTATGATAACTGGAGGAAGATTACCGCCTGCAAGTTGGATCAGGTCAAAGACAACAGTGTATTTACTGTCAGAAGATATGAGTCATAGATTTTGGAATTCTATTTTCTTTTTCCTGTAAAACACTAACAAAATGGAAAATAAGTGTTTTTATTTAAGATTGTTTTTGAGATTGCAATCTTATAATCTCTAATGAAACACTGTTCTTGGGACAGTTTATAGACATTAATAAAAATAAATGTTGTACCAGTCTGAGTTATCTCCTGAGAATAACAAATTTTGTGTATCAACAATTTGGGAAGAGGAAGAAGTTTCTTGTACTGTATTACAAAAAAAAGGTTCTCTAAGAGAGCTAGATCTGCTTCCTTATTACAGCAAGGAAAGAAAGATGATGTATCTCTCCAAATATCTTATTCAAAACTGTATTTTAAAATAAAAAGAAGAGAAAGGAAGTTGTAGCATATATTTTTATAAATACCGCTCCTATAAAGAATAATAAAGATCAGGTGTCTAAGCTAAATTTCAAAACTTGAGAAATATATAATTATCTTCTATTAACCAAAGAGAAGAAAATCTAGGCCTGAAGCCCTTAAATTATTTAGGGTAATGTTCTGCTGTGTTCTGCTGGGAAAACAAGGCATTAAGATCTTAATTTTTTCTGCAATTATCGTTTTTTTAAAGAAATGGGCCAAGTTTTATGCTAAAGGCATGTAAAGAGATACAAAAATGATAATTAAGGATCGAGTTAATTAAATTAGAATAGAAAATACTGGGCTTTTTGCCTTTAAGAAAGAGTAAGTAGTCTTTAAGACTGAATGAATCATTAATGTTTCATTTCAAAATCACACTACAAAGACTTTATTTTTTTCTAAACATAAATTGTTACTGATTTTCAAACTAAGCTGACTCATTTGGAAATGCACACACAGAGATAAAAAGTAAGTTGTTTGCTATGATTTCATAAATTTCACCATGTAATATTTAGAAAAATACTAAAAGATGCTGTGAACATTGATATTATTTCCACTGATTTCTGTTTTGGCATAAATCAGTTCACGTATTCGTTTTGAATGACTCTATACTAAGCTATAATTTTAAAGAAGAGAAATAGCCAGGTGTGGTGCTGTATACCCGTCATCGCGGGACTTGGCATGTTGAGGAAGGGGAGTGCCGTGAGTTTGAGGCCAGCTGGAGATAGTTCGGTAGCAAATGCAAGGCCAGCCTGAACTACAAAGGGTGACCTTGCCTCCCCCACCAAAAAGCAAAGTTGGAGAAAAAAATTCACTGTTTTCAAAGACACTCTATTTTACTACTGTAAAAGTCAGGAAAGAAATATGATCGTGATTTTTTTTTATAAGATTATGGAAGTAAAGATGGAGGTTCAAGTAGAAGTGGCTAAAGACAACTAATAAAGTCGTTATTAATCTTATAGTACCCCGTAGCACTTTGGGATATTAGAAATGGCATTTCTGAATTAAGATACTTGTCCTTCTTCAATTTGGTGAATTTCATGTTTTGTTTTCCTCTTTGAAGTCTGGTAATCTGAGAAAGTTAATGGAATTTCCATAATTTTAAAATAAAGACAATAAGATAGATTTCATATACTTTATACTTCTATTGTGTAGTGATTTAATTTTTTGACATTTGAGATATACTTATAAAAATATCTCTTTGTATGTGATAGACACAGTAATGCAGCAAAACTGATACATTGTTACATCTGCCAAATGTTCAAAATGTGTTCAACATTTTTGTGTCTACAGTAACTGCAATTAGAATATAGAAGAGTCAGGCCGGGGTTTTAGATTTAGCTCAGTGGTTCTGCCATCTGCCTCTCAGGCACACAGTCCCATGTTTGATCCAGATACCAAAAAAAAAAAAAAAGAATATAGAAGAACATAATCAGATTTTTAAGGCATTCAAAATGATATTAATATAAACTAAATTTATATAGCTAATCTATTGTCTGTGTCCCTGCATAGAATATAAACTTCCTAAGCGGAAAATTTGTTTGCCTACTATGTTCAGTCCTGAAACCTCAGCACCTAGAGCAGTGTTTAGGAAATGGTAGTGTTCAATAAATATCTGTTAAGTGGATAAATACATTTAAAAGTAAATGTTCAATTAATGTTCATAAAATGAATAAATACACTCAATTGTTATGAAAATAAAAAATGTTTAAAATACAATTACAATTTCAATCTATTGACAGCTTGCCACTTACCTTTTCAACAGGATATTAAAATGTTATTTTTACATAATTAATAATGTGAAATAGGAAGTAAAGGGCTAAAAGTGTAGGGAAAGTGGGAAGGGTGGGGGGGAAGGCAATAAGGGAGAGGAAAAAAATATGAGAAAATGAAAAAATGGAAATAAAGTGTTTGTAAATGGGGGGGTGAAGGGAGGGCAGGGACAAGGGGAAAAAATGAGAATCAAGACCTATCATGTAAAAGTACAGGATCCCAATAATGAACGTAACTGTATTGTATACCTAGGTTGTACCAATAAACTCAATAAAAAGAAAAAAAAAGAATTGTGTTGTTATCAATAGTACAATGGTGAAAAGAATGGTGTCAGTAGCCAAACGGGATAGCTGGATACCCTTGGGCTAAATTCTTTAATTTAAGAAACTTGTTAGCAGATTTCTCATATATGGAGGATCAGAGAATTCATGCAAAAGGTAATTGTGATTAATAAGAATGTGTATGCTTATCATTTTTCATCAATAATGATAATTATCATCATCATCATTACCTTCTTTTTTCATTCCTGCTCTAAAACATTTTCTTAATCGACAGTATCTACATTGATTCCTTTTGTCCTTGTCAACAACACACTGGCGACTGAATCTATAACATCAAATAAGATATGTTAGTTTACAGAAATTTACAGAAAGCTACCATTTATCAAAAAGGCAAAAACAGACAAATAAAATGACTTTAAGATAGTCAAATATGACTCAATAGAAAGAATGCATAAGAACAAATAATTAAGGATTTCTATTCTCAAGATCAGTGTGCACATTTAAATATAAACCTTGCCTCTTCTTAGTCTTTATAATAAATTAAAACTGAATGACTAATCTCCTGTTTTGGCCACTGTACATTATAATTCCTATCATGGGTCACAAAAGGCAAATCTAGTTTTAAAATCTTTGCATATAAATTCTAGATGCTTATTGCACAATGATTTCTGTGTGTTGGAAAATATAGCAGAATTTGATTCAATTCCCTGTACTTTCAAGCTATTTTTCTTTTTATATATTATTCTATTCACTTAAATGATCTCACATCCAACTGAAATTTACCATAAACACCAAAATTACATATTAAAAGACCATTGAGAACACAGAGCATATAATTTCTGCATAATGATACACCACTTCACATGCATTACAATAGCTATACATTGGAAAAAAAATTATGAGTGTTAGTGAAGACATGGAAAAATTGGAGCCCTTGTGCTTCACTGGTCAGAAGAGTGTGTGATGCACTTGCTTTTGAATAAAGCTAGGGTGTTTGTCAAAAGTGAAAACTGCCATACGACTCAGTAATTCCATGCTCAGTGTATACCCAAAGAAATAAAAATATATGTCAAAGCAGCATTACACATAATAGGCCAAAAAGTGAAGCAGTGAATAAATAAAATGTGGCAGGCCCATACACAGAAATATGACTATTTATCAATAATCAGGAATGGAGTACTTATGCATGCTACAATCTGTGTGAGTCTCTGGAAATAATTCTATTAAAGATGAAGAAAGTCAGACACAAAAATATATCTGTTTGATTTCATTTGTATGAAATTTCCAGAAGAGGTAAATCCATAGAATTACAAAGTAGATTTGTAGTTGTCTCATATCGCTGAAGATGGAACTGCAGAGTGACTACTAACAGTTTTCTTATAAGGTGATGCAAAGGTTCCAAATTGATTGCAGAGATAGTTGCACAACTCTAAATAGGCTAAAGTACTGAATTATATATTCAAAATATTGCAATTTGTGGAATTAGACTTGATTCTGATCCTCAGGTTAACCATTCACTCTAGGTATGATTTGGGGATTTTAATACCAATTTACAATTATAAAATAGAGGAAAAAGTCGTTTCAAAGGGTTTAGTGCAAATGTACTATAGTGTTTGGGGCACATATTAATCATATGCTAAAATATAACATTTCTTTAAAATTCTTATCCATATGTATTGTTATATTCTGGTTGTTTTTAGTTAATGATTAAGTAATGAGAATGAAGTAATATATTCTGTGACCTACAAAAATTTCCTTAGCTGTGTGTGGTGATGCATGCCTCTAATCTCAGCTATTTAGGAGGTTGAGGAAGAAAGATCTAAGTTTGAGGTCAACCTAGGAAATTGAGTGAAATTCTACCTTTAAAAAAATCCAAAGGGTTGAAGATATAGCCCAGTGCAATGGCCCTGTGTTCAATCCCCAGCATCATGAAAATAATAAGAAATAAATAAAATTATTTAAACTGTGCAGCAACTTAAAACTGAATGAGAAATAAACCCTACTTCAAAAGAGCTGAGCTGAAATAGATACTTTCAGAGTGAGGGGAGGAAAGGCCCTGTCCATTTTGAATGCCAGAATGAGGAGATTCAGAAGTTATTAGATTACTAAAAATCATACAGAAAGTATAGACAATAAGTGTTAAATTTATAACAAAGCTTAAGTAAACATATGATTAGCCACTAAGTGTGGACAAACCCTGGTGTAGGGAGTAAAGAGTTAAATATTACCTGTTGCTTCCATTCAAGAATATTATAAGCTAATAAAGTAAGTACACAAGTTTACAAATAGCCATTATCAAAACCTTTGTGTGGTAGGTATTGAAACAAGAAGTTAAAATGCTTTAGGATGAAAACCCTCGCTTCAGTGGGATGGAACAAAACCAAATTTATGAATATAAAAAAACAGATAAGATTGAGAGCAGCAAAACCTGTGGCTGAAATAAATATTATTCCTCTAAATTTGTACCATTATTATTACTCCACCCAAATGGAAAATCATAGCATTTGCTCTTTACCAAAACATGTAAAGAAGTGTTAGGTGAGCAGCAGCATATGTGATGGGAAAGTGGGAGAAGTTAAACTGCACACGTTGCAGAGATATTTATTAAATTCCTAGTGGCTGCTCTGGAAGCAAGCTTTCGTACACTCCCTACACAGAAATCTGGAAAGTCCTTTCACTCACTATTATTCTCAGCTTCTTTCTAGTCGTTGGAATTAGTTGTTTGACTTAATGTATATTTCCCTTTTAAAAGAATAGGAGATTTTTGAAAAAATACTGTTTCATTTTAATTGTAGCTGTTAATTTTTAAGAGCACTTAATATTTAAGGCAATTTTAGAGGAAATATTCTGATAGAAGACAATGATGTTTTTATACCTGTAGAATTGTTATATAAAATCCCAAACTCATATAAATATTATTTTTTTATTAAAATTTTAAGGTGGGTAATTTATATTTCTTTAAGACTGCATCAAACTCTCCTGGAAAATTTACTTGAGAAAACTGGGTAGATTTAGGGAAGTTATAGATTAACTTTTATTTCACCCTGAGAAAACAAATGACACCATGATTTAAGTGAACTTTTTCTAAACTATCCAATTAGTTCTTAAAATAATGTAATAATGCCAATATGCTTTTCTTTTATAGAGCAAGCACAGACTTTCTTGTGTTAAAATACGTCTTACTTGTCCACAGCCTATATTTCATCAACATGCCATCTGCATTTTAATACTGTCGTACCAATCAGGTTAAACCTAAACTGAGCTAAGATGTTTATTAGAAATTCTTTTTAAAGATTACTGGAGATACGTGACACATAAAATATAGCTAAATATCTTCAGACCAAACATTGAAATCCAATGGCAAAAAAGAAAAACAGCATGAGACAGAAATTTTAAATTTTAGAACTGAAAATTAAATTTCATTTATTGAAAAAAAAACAAGCCACAACATCCTCTTCGGCACTTTCATAATTTTGTTTTAGAAGGTCAAGAATGCAGTGACAATGAAAAGAAAATCCACATACAGAAAAACCACAGGTTGAAAAATCATTTAAAAGCAGATTTTAAAATGCTTACTGGTATAGGAACATATGGTAAAACAATAAAGAGAACAAGGAAAATATCACACCAAAATCCATATGGTTGTTACCCTGGAGAGACTAGGGAGAAACACGAAGTGGCTGGGGAGGTGTCCCCTGGAGGATTCAACTATATTGGTCTAACCTGGGTGGTAGAGATGTGAAATTCTTATGTAATTTTATATGTTTAAAATGTATCATAAAAAAGAAACACCTGTGTGAGTGCATCATGCATAACCATCCACACATCCTCCTTTTTATTGCAGCTTAGAGACTGTTCACAGAGCTACAGATATGCGAGCTCTAAGTTTTCTTCCCTTACTTCTTGTATGCTATTTTTAAACTTCTCTTAAATTAACATTCCTAAAAGGAGCATTTCACAGACCTGCAGGAGTAAACATGACTCTTGCGTATGCTGCGTCTGAAGAAACCTTTGCACCCGTCACAGCTTGATGCCCCGTAGTGCTTCCCTGTTGCTCTGTCCCCACATATTGCACACAGACAGTTGACACCATTTTCTGTGGTATTCATACTTGTCGTCTCTGGGGCAGAACTATCTGTTAAAGAATAGAGTTAAAATTAGTAATGTCTTGATTAAATTGCTCTACTCATTATTCATAGGCCTGAAATATTCCAATCCTTGGCTTGTTGAAGATTCCACAACAGGGCTTTTTTCCTTGACCCACGGCTGCTTCTATTGTATCCATTGAAATTTGGGACACTATATGGCTCAATCTTCCAACTGTAGTCCCAAGCTGGGCTCATTCAGTTCAAGATTTTAAACACCATCTCTATGATGGAAAAGTTCTCACTATTTTACTCTGTTAACTCCTGCGTGTATCAGTCTGGATTGCTTCAGTGCTATTAAGAGTCTCACTTTGGCCTGGTGTGATGGCACACACCTGGGTGTAATCCCAGTGCTCTTCAAGTCTTGGGCAAGAGGATCGCAAGTTCTAGTTCTACCTGAAGAACTTGGCTAGACACTATGTCAAGAAAAGGGTGGGGGAGAGGAGAAAGAAAGACGGAAGGAAGGAAGGGAGGGAGAGAAGCTCTAAAGAAGTATCTCAAAACTCTGGATTCAATACAAACCCCACAAAGGCTTCACTTGAAAATCAAGAATCACAAATTAATATATCAAAAACAGAACTTTACTTTTTTCCTGTAGAAATTATTTTCCCTTGGGTCTTCCCTGTATCAGCCAGTGTTCCTATCTAGTCCCTAGAACCAATAACTTGAGAGTCTTCCTTCAAAGTTAACCCAATATTAAACCCAAATGCATTGAATCTACAACTTCTCACTCTTTCACCATGATCATCCTTATCCAGTTCGCCAGCACCCTTTCCCTGTATCATTGCAATAACTTCCGAACTGATTTTTACACTTTCACCCTTTCTCCCCTATTATGTATGTATCACCTAGAACTACCAAAGTGATCTTGGTGAAAGAAATTCACATCTTGTCACCCTTCTTGGTGAACTCTGCCGTGCTTTGTCCTTAGATATAGAATAAAGCCAATGCAGTTTGATAGGGCCCATAAACCCCTGCCCTCACCAAACTGCCTCTCTGTCTGGTACCCTTCCTTCCTTTCACTCTTCTCCAGCCACGTTGCCTTTTTTTTTTTTGCTATTCTTATCTTGGAACTTTTATATTAAAAAGATTCACGATGTTAAATCCATACTTAAATTTTAATCTGTAGAAATTAGGTAGTAACACTTTTGTTATATCTATTATAACAATAAAATTAAGTCATTATGTCTCAATTTTATTCTGTGATATTCTATATGGACATATATATTCCTCTTACTTATATTTCTCAGGAAATATACTACCATATAATTTGGAAACGTCAATTAGGAAAACTCTAATAAAATGGTATTTAAGGTTAATTATGTCACATTACAGAATTCAAATGTTAATTTTTTATTTAGTAACAATAGCAGAAAAGATATTAATCAATCATAACTCATAAATGTTTGGTATTGATTATTTTATGAGGCAGTAAAGGAAATATTGAAAACAGCTAATATGAAAAACAAGTAAAATGCTAAGTAGCCATCCAGGTTATTTGTTTTAATATACATTGGTAAATATTTATGGTAAATCTGTCCTACCATTTAGGAATCTAGACTCTTTGAAGTAATGATTCTATTGAGATAAATACTCTGTTAAATATATCTAATTAAAATAGTAAGTGCCTAAGAATTTCACTATAGGTTCAGTTTATTTTACTTATGCTTAAATTTTAGAATCCATTTTCTGACAAGTTTTAAAAACTTCTCTAATAAGCTGCTGTTCACTGGGAATATAACCAAAGCACCAATCAGACAAATTGTACATTATAGTAGAAAACTGAAATATTCCTACCATAAGAGACTTTCATAATCTGAAACTAAATATTCACAAACACACACACACACACACACACACACACATACACACACTTTCTCAAAGTATACATAATTATGAGATATCAGAATTTCTGACAAATCCTATCTTGAACAAGACTTTTTCTTGAAGAAAACATCTACATTCAGTCAATAGCAACCTAAATTACATAGACAGGATTCCTCAACAATTCATGTCTTATTTAAAGTTAAAATGTTACAGTAGATAAATGCCAAGAGTTTTGTGCAGCTAAACATTAGCATGTCAAGCGAGGTTATAATATAAACCCTTATTTCTTTTCATATTTGTGTTCAATGCAAAAACTTGACAGTCATTTTAAAAGCAATTTCTCAGCAGCAATTGAGAACTAGCATAACGAAAGGAGACAATCAGTAAAACTCTCTAGTGTTCTACAGAATCTTTCATAATTCATCCTAAATATTGCATAGAGAATGCATTTTCAGTCAATCTGCCAATATTATTTATTATGATGATTTACCAAAAATAAAATAACTGCTGAAACTACTATTTTTAGCTCTTCACTGGCCCATGCCAGAATTCTGTGGTTACTTTATTACACAAAACTAGGCTACTCTATCTCTAACATGAAATATAGCCACAGTGTTATTAATTGAAATTCTGTGATGAAGTACAAAAGCTCAGATTTGTGGCCTTAAAAGAAGGCCTTCACTTTCCCAGCATTGAGTTACAGCCCCAGGATGCTCAGTTTTGTTCTCTCTCTCTGTCTCTCTCTCTCTCTCTGTCTCTCTCTCTCTCTCTCCTTATATATATAT